AATCCACTTGTGTTTCTAAGGATTAAAATTAGCCTATGGGATTAATAGAGAGGGATCCCTTCTGAATCCTTCGTAGTTTAGATTGATGCAGTCGTTTCAGAGATATTAATCGCTTAGGTACAAATTAGATAGTCAGATAAGTACCTAAATGTTTTTTAATTATTGTTGGGCTTAGGAGTTTTACAGTGTTATTCAAAAACATTATAGTTTTCTATTATGTGTTATACTAAAAACAATATAAATTATTAATTATATAAAATAGGATTTATATGTATTATTGTAGATTCATTATTTTATTCTTTATGTTGTCATTCTGATATAAAATACTTATTTGAGTTTTCTGACGTTGTCATCTTGAGTGGAATGGGCGGGAGCAGCGTTGTATTTTGTTTCATGACTTTTAAATAACGCGTGATGCGCCATTCCTTTTTGTAATGTGGTTTGAGGCGTTACTCTGACTATGTATAAAATAATAAAAACTGTGTGTTGTTACACTAAATTTTACTACTTCTAAATTGGCTCTTAATATATGATATGAAAACAGCAAAGTGTAATCAAAAAGGAATTAAGAAAAAAACACAGTCTGTTTTCTTAAACACAGTTTAAGACTATTTCTATGTTCTAAATATATTCTAAAGGCCTCATAATATGCAATTTATTAAAGAAAATATAAATAAAAAAATTGATGAATAAAATATTTCAAGATATGAGAACGTCTGGCGACGTCTTATTGTGCAAAAGACAAATAAAGGGATTAAATAATTTGTCGCAAAATTATTAATTTAAAAAAAATATTTCTCAAGTAAGGTAATTAAAGGAATAAAAAAAATATATAGTGTTGCATATTACGATGTAGAATGTCGTACGTAACAGATTTTTACACCATACTTAAGCAAAAATTTATCAAGATAGCTGCAAATCCATGATGTGTTAAACAGTGATAGTGGTGGCGGAAATAGTGATGGAAGACAGTGCTCTGTAATTAAATTAGCGTTACTCTTCTAAGTGACTCTCGTATACGTAAAAGCAATATCTTTATAGCAAGTAAGCACATTTAATTTGCGACTTCACAACCCAAGCTCATAAGAATATTCTTGAATATAATATAAGGATTTTTGTACTACAGACGTCTTAATTTTCATAAAATCAAATTCGATCAAATAGACTCATTCTCTCTCAGCAATTAAAATTGGTAAAATTGCGAAACAATGCTTATAAAAAAATTCCAAAGTAATCTTTTTTTGTAATTTTTAGGAAGAAAGTTTTTAATAACATAACTGATTAAACAATTTGTTTAAAAAATATATTTATGTTGATTTTTTTAAAAACCGCTCGACCGATTTCGATAAAATCTATATGGGACCACCTGGAAAGAACCCTTTTAAACAAAACAAAAATTTTCCAAATCGGTTCAGGCGTCTTCGAGTAATCGGTGAACATACATAAAAAAAGATTCCGACGAATTGTGAACCTCCTCGTTTTTGGAGGTCGGTTAAAAATGATGCTATATTCTGACTTTCATACAATTTTTATATCACGTACCTAATTCGCACATATAACAAAGTTCTACGGGGATCAAAGTGATACACTGAATGTTTTGTGTTTATAGCTGTTTACGATGCAATAAAAGCCACACATATATATATCTGTACTTCTATATCAATACTTTACTAATATTATTGAGGAGATTTGTATGTTTATTTGTTTCTATTCAATAAAACCTGAAACATAAATCATTTTAGTAACACTTTTACTGATAGAGAGCTATATTCTTCCGAAGTGCTTTAATGAGTTTATATTGTGTTATATAACTCTTATTGTGCGTTTTAGCCAAGCTGTCACGGTTTTTGTCTAGCAAGTCCGAAAATATACCGCTCAATCAGCGTTCTTTGGGAGTGCTGCTTATTATTATTTATACTATTTTCATTGTGGCAACGTGCGAGTGGCATTAGACAAACTGCTCCTTTTCACTAATGAATTTTCCTATTATTTACAAAGTTGGCGTGATATTTCTACTCTAACCTAATATATTTTTAACGTATGGTATAGATATCAATCATTATTTATTGAACACTGTAGTAAGTCAAAGAAATTTGACCTATAATATGTGACTATTTTTAAATACATCCAAAATTAAACAAAAACGGTGCGATTTGTTATGTATGTGACGTAACGTCTTAGTGATGGTATATTATTGGTACGATGGATGATCGATATTTTTTATATGGGAAGTACTATTTGTGCGTTATTTAAATTTTTATTTCTCAATATAACTAATACACGAAATCTGCTGAAACACGCTTTGTTACCCAACTGCGGCGAAGTCCAAGGAGGATCATGAGTTTGACCTGTGTTATCACCATACCAAATTTTATCAAAATTCCTTTCGTGGATTTTTCTATGATGCGGTAACAGACAGACAGACAAAAAATCTAAAAACTATAGATTCGGCCTCTGTATCGATAATAATGTTTATTTTAATAAGATTTTTCAAAAAATATTTGATGTTCAGATTTGGCTTAGTTACAATTTTATTATAATATAGATATCCATACTAATATAATAAAGAAATAAAGTCTGTAAATTGGTATGTAGCATGTGGTAATCTCTACAACTACTGATCCTATTCTCAAAGGGTTTTTACTAATAGGTAGGCTACATTATAGCCAAGTGCTATTTTATTGCGATAAAAATGTTTTTAATATCAAAGATATACATATAATCATACCTTACATTATTAAAGTCGGTAAACTAAAAAAAATGTATATTATCTTAGTTTCAGTGGTGTGTTTGTATTGTCAAAAATTACAAATGAACTGTTTAATTAGTATTCTTTTAACAGAATAATTTATTTAGTAATTTATTCACGCTCATAGCTCTATGAGATAAAATTGACTAAAATTCTATATTGTATGACATATTAGTAACTAAATCCTAAATTTACATAATGAACATCGAAAATTGCGTTTGAATAAAATTATGTATTCAGAAATTATCTATAGATGTTGCCTTTAAGCTTGATAAGTACACGCATAATTTCCTCATACAAAACGCTTTGATTAATTAAATGTAAGCATTTGATCATGATCAAGGGTGTATTGTATGAACTCAAATTCCTTTGCCTTACCGTACACGGTACAATATTACACATATTAAATCCATCGCACTTCCGCTCAAATAGTGTCATAACTCAAAAAAGTTGTCAAAAAATAACTCAAATTGTGTAAATATAGGTCATATCCACTATAAAAATGGTAGCTTATTTATGTTTATATCCGAATTAAAAAAATATTTTCCAAATTTAAAATCCCGACTACATCAAAAGTGAACTAAAAAGATGAGAACAAGTTGACGAAGGAACATTAAACATAGTATTATGCTGTTGGAGATATACATATACATGTATACATGTACATGACGTTTTATAGTAGGTTGCGTGTGTCTGTCTCCGACTCCGGTGGATTTTTCTTGGCGGAGAATTCAATTCAAGACCCTGACTGGGTTTTGAATTGAATTTTGTACAATATTTTGTATTTACAGCTTTTTAGTTTTGGTCAATTAGACATCTTTAGTTTTATATAACAATATTTTACCCTAAATTACTTTTAAACCTTTTTTTATTATGTTACCTTGTATTTTGATACCCCACACGATTGATTCGGATGAAAAATTTCACACTCTCGTTATCAAGACGAATCGAACAGTATGAATCATCAAAATCGAGATTATAGGGTCGAACAAACAAACAAACAAACAAACAAACATACATACATACATACATACATACATACAAACAAACATCCATACAGGTCAAACACATAACCTTCCTTTGGGTTTTGCTGCAGTTGGGTAAAAAAGACTACTGTTCTATAATTCGTATTCGAATTTTTTGTGGATGTTTCATGTAACCGTTTTCGAAAAAATCTGATCAAGGTGAAACCACAAGTCATATACTTGCGTGCATTAGTAATAGTACATTACAGTATCATCAAGCTGAGCAAATGATAATTGATTACCATTTTTTCAAGTCCAATACTTTTAGTAAAATGAAAATAAATTCATAACATAAGAATCGAAGATCAAAATTATACCTATAGAGATTTAAAACAAAAAAAAGCAGTCATGAGGACTGCCGACAGTAGTGAAAACTTAAAACTATAAACAAACAGTTGTTATTTTTGGATGTTCAAATTAATTGTTTGATCTTAAATTAAAATTTGTAAATTAAAACTGTTTACATTTATCTGGTTTTAACATCTCGATAGATGTGTCTCGATGATGTGTCTCGAGTGCCGATGCACTCTGAGCGTTAGCGTTAACACACCACGTGACCACTGAATATGTCTATGACGACTTACATGAATTTACTCCCCATCCAAACCTGCCTATAAAAAGAAGTTTTCACTTCAAAAAATATTGTTTATTAACAAAATATATAAAAATATGATAAAATATTGATGGCTAATTTACAGATTTAATTTTAGCAAAATAATTGGCATCAAACTGATACATCAGTTTAAAAACTACGCCGATAGATTTTTTTCCACCAAAAATAAATATTAATAACGTCTTAAAAATGTAAGCGAAATCACTGAAAAACAGTGTGTAAATACTTTTCCCAACATAAAAAAAGACAATAAAAATAAAAAAAATAAAAGCAATAAATATCTGAATATGGTTTTATTTACAATAAGAAAGAAATTTTACCCTTTTATAAAATATATATCAAAGAGTAAAGACGATGGCTATCTCGACAAAAGCGAACTTTGAAATACCTTTTAGGTAATATTATGTTACACGAAATACGGATTGATGTGTAAAAGTCACTTTCCGCTAACCTTAGATACACATTGAATATAAAAAGAAAATTTGTCTTGAAACAAACTGTAGGTAGATCGGTAATGGTGTTTTATGGGTTTTACCCCAATATATGTATAGTATTTATAGGTAATATTGTATATATATATATATGTAAATTATCAATATTTTTTCTCTTACAGTACTAGAAATACGCAAGAGGATGAAACAGATTGGACAAGAAATACCACAATCGAGGAATATTTGGGCCACAATATCACTAATGACACATACGGTATGTCAAATAATTTATATATATATATACATATACATTTTTATGATTTATGTTGTAGTAGCTGTTCACTCTCGTTCATCGAGTTCGTCCCTAGGTACGATTTAAATAAATGTAAATAGTTACCATCCAGCGTTAACCTTGTAATTGTTTTTTTTTCGTAAATTTTTTCGATGTTTTAATACTTATCTTATTCCTGACTAAGACAAATACAAAAAATCAAATATCATAATAATTGGTCCAACTAACACGACTTTGTTTTATATGTTTGTATCAAACATATGTGTAAAAAGAGCCCATGTCTACGATAGACGGTTTTTGTTTGAAGAGTATCGTACCTATATAGAGATAAATAAACAATATGAGTTAATATATTGTATGTCACATACGTTTATAAATTCACTCATTCACGGAAAGATTTACGATGAATGACGACAAATGATAACATTTCTGATGATTGATGACGTTTATCCTTTGAATCATGGTCCGAATAAAAAACAAATAGGGATATAATATAAAATTTGTTACAGATACTTTATACGATGTGCCAACGAGCATGATCGTATTACTTTCCTTTCTATATGGATCCATCTCAGTTTTAGCGGTTGTGGGCAATTTCCTCGTTATGTGGGTAGTCGCAACGTCACGTAGGATGCAAAGCGTAACTAATTGCTACATCGCTAATTTAGCTTTAGCTGATATCGTCATAGGGTTATTTGCTGTACCATTCCAAGTAAGTTATATATTTTCATTCACTATATATTATTATTAGCTGTTCTAGATTCATTTCAATTTCATTAATCTAATAATATATTTAAATACACAATTATTATAGAAAAAAATTGATAAAAGATGTATATATAATAATATTTTTGAATAGCAATAGATTTTAAATTAAACTTTATTACTGTCGGGAAAATATTTATTTCGTTTAAAATACTTAGTTAATATTGAAAATGATTTTTAGTTCCAAGCAGCGTTACTCCAGCGATGGCTACTTCCACATTTTATGTGTGCTTTCTGCCCATTTGTGCAAGCACTGAGTGTTAACGTTAGTGTATTTACTCTGACTGCTATTGCTGTGGATCGACATCGAGCTATTATTACCCCTCTAAGGTATGTACCCCAAATTACCGTTTTTCGATTGTTTGAATGTAATTTAAGAAATAATTTATAATTACTTTGCTTAGGTGACAAAAACTTGTCATGTCCCATACATATGTACATATATAATACTGACTCATGTGGCTCACTTCCGTTTTTTAACTTAACAAAATTACACTCATAAACAACAGCTTATAAAATTGATGACCAATTTTAGGTTTTCATTAATTTACAAAGTAATCTCTAAATAACTTTTTGAATCTCTTGATGTATAAAATAATCTCTCAAAGAATGGGGTCTTTGATCTCAGCAGTTCATAGTGAGACCATCCATTTGAGATTATAACGCTACAAGATCATATTGACAGGCAGAACCGATGGCTTTATGTGGTTTGGGTTTTAACTCGGGATTAGCTAGCTAGAAAATAATATGAAAATATATAATTCAGGAGTGCAGAAGAAAGAAAATAATTCTTTCTTCTACACTCCTAAATTCCATAACTCTTCTGCATCTTACTTTTAAGTGTAATTTTAATTTTTTTTTCTACAGATTTTAATATCATCATACTTCATTTAGAAATGTAATTACTCCAATTAATTATTTAAGTAATATTCAAATATATTTATTTCACAATACAAATAAGCAAACGTAACAATTTCGCAATCACGTTTAATTAAAATTCTTAATTTGATTAACAAAATTAATGATACGACGTTGTTTATTTCGTTTAATGTTGTGGATGAAGCGATCTTTGTGGTCAAGTCTTGCCTTTTAAATGAATTCCATTCTAATTATCTAAATAGTTTATTTTAGTAACTTAATTTGTTTATACGCATGTTCATTTCTTGAGGAATAAAATTAAAACAATATGAATTTTTAATATACAATTGAATATTTCATTTATAATATGAGATACACACATTCACACTCTATTAAATAAATATTACGTAGCTCAGATTTTATAATTTGACGACACGACTGGCTCAGTTTGTAGTGATCCTGCTGTGCCAGTGGTTGCGGGTTCGAGTCCCGCTGGGGTCATTCATTTGTGTAGCACGAATGTTTGTACTCCAGTCATGGGTGTTTATATTTATAATATGTATGTATTTAAAGTTATTTATGTGTAGTGTATCAACCACAGATTGTATTATTATATCTATGGTATCAACTATCTGGTATCCATAACACAAGCCTCGTAGTTAACCATGGAACTAGATGGTGCTGTGTGTTAACGTTCCAACATATTATTTATTTTATAATATTATTTCTAAGACACCAGGCAAATTATTAATCAGTTAAAATCAGTAAATCAATATGTATACAGACTTATTTACATTGAAATATTCAAAGTTATCGTCAATTAAATATTCAGTGTTCATATATTGCACATATTTAACAATTTTCTAACGAGCGATGTCCTTTATAAGTAAGTGTTTTGGTAAAAATTGAACAATTATTATATCAAAACTACGAGTATGATATTCCAAAATTTCATAAAGGACGTATGCAAAACTAAATATGCGAGGCCTACAGAATATATTACAAAAGCGGTAAGCTCATGGCTGGTAATAGCTTTACTAAGTAAGTAATAAATTAGTGAACGCCAAACAAAATTCATTAACGTTGATCCAGATTATCCACGAAGACTTGTTCATATTTCTGTAATATACGCATGTAATAAAGAAAATGATAATTATTGTAATAATGATGAGTGATTGACAGTTTTAATTACTGCATCATTATTATGTGATGTAAGCAACTTACATCATAATTTGCTTACATACTATGTAGCTTCAAACTATACCAGCAAAGGGGAGGCTTTATCTATGTATTCATTAAACTGCTCATTTACGGTGTAGTGTGTAGAGATTATTAATATTTCCAATCTCGCCAATAACGAACCGTGTGTTGCCGCTCCCAACGCCTACCTTTGTCTTGATCAAGAAAAGGCCTAATTTATTATTAACGATTAATGTAATAGTTGACCCTTTTTAGAAACTAGCGACTCACCCTCGCTTCGTTGGGGTTCGTCCCCTAGGTACGCTTCAACGGTTACTAGGGAATAATAGGTTTTTGATCTCTTCTTTTGTGAAAAACAAAAATTAATCTATCCCACGGGAACCGTAGATTTTTCCGGGATAAAAAGTAACCTATGAACATATGTGCCAGTGGCGAAGCGTCCATATGAGACGTCTTACCTTAAATGTATTTTGCTAAAATTGTATATTTTTGGAACGGCTTAACTCTGCTAACATTTCACCCTTCGCTACTGCTATGTGCTATACCACACTATAATCTATCTATGTGCCATATTTCATCCAAATCCGTTCAGCCGTTTTAGCGTGACTAAATAACCAACATCCATTCAAACTATCCGCATTTACAATATTATTGATTAATTAATGGGATTATATTATTATTAAATGGGATTGCACTTAGACCTCGGGCTTAATTAGTGCTACTAACTTGAAATATACAACAGTGCTAGTACATTTTAAAGAAACAAAAATATCAATTTTAAAATAAACTTTTCATTGTAGTAATCATTATATATTATTATAATTAAATGAATATTTTCTTCATAGGTACTAATATTTAAATATATTACATTCATCCCAAGGGTATGAGAAAAATATTGTAAACTTTAATTTTACTGTAAAAATTCTAAATGAATGAAAGTGAAACGTTTTTAAATCTCAAAAAAGGACGACAATTTTAAAAGAAATTGGAATTAAAAGATATCAATTAAACAAATAATAATAACTTTCACTGAAATCTGAGGAAAAGTGGCGCTAAGTAGCTTTATTGGCCTGCGCTTCCTTAACAGTTTGAAATAAGGCAATAAAATGTATGACAGAAAGACCCTCACCCGGTGCATTCGAGCGAAGCGAGAGTAAATTGCTAGTTTAAAATTAAAAAAATATATTTTAATGCTAACATAACCACAAACAAATCAACCGTTAAAAGAATTAAGTCTTGAAATATTACACTATTAAAGTATTCTCAACAATAAAAGTCACGCACACGCCAGCATCAAAAGATTTGAGATCCTAACAAATGGCTCTACCGGAAATCCAAATATGTAGTATCAATCAGGATAGCTTATGATGATAATGAAGGGCGTGTAACATACTGTACATATATTGTGTTTTCCTATTGCTGGTTTCCAAAGACAACATATTATCTCAGTCCATTCTCCGTTTTACGTAAGTAACCGTGGTTTTTCGTGTTCCACGGTAGGCATGCTTAACCGTGGAAGGACCGTGCTGTTTTATTGTAGAGACTTACTATACATCCGTAATAACCTATTATACTAGCGAATCACTTCAGTTCGTCCCTAGGTACGTTTCATTTGTTTTATATTAGGACGTATTTTCCCGTAGGAATGAGATAATCTCCCGCGGTAAAAAGTAACCTATGTCACTCTCCAGCTCTCCAACTACTCCATACAAAAATAACGCCAATCCGTCACTCTGTTCCGACGTGAAAGACGAAATAACAAACAAAAAAACAAACACATTTTCACATTTATACTATTGCTATGCTATGGATTTATGTCTAATAAATGAAAAACAATAAAAAACGCCTTTTAAAAATTAAAATGAACAATATCAAAGCCAAAAAAACCTCATTATTGTGAACCATTCTTTTGTACTACTATATTTTTTCTCAGCGTATATATACAAATATGCTCATAATAAATAAGCATGTTCTAAAGCAGGTAATTGATTGAATATTAATATTTATAAATGGTAATGCGCTCGTTTGGAAAAGCGAGTGAAGCGGATTCAATTCCCGGGTCTTTCACCTCCGATATTTTCGAGTGCGAATAGTTTTCCAAAAAGATTACCACTTGTCTTACCGTGACAGAAAACATCGTGAGTAAACGTGCATGTCTGAAAGAACCTAGCAAGTTATCGACAGTCGACACACGTGAAGCTCGCCAACCTGCACTTGGTCAGCGTGATCCCCCTCGCATTGAAGAGAGGTCCGTGGCCAACTGTGGGCCGTTTAAAAAAAGAGCTGAATACACTTTATGGATATATTATTGTATACAGTGTATTTCTCAAATCTCTATACCAAGTAACAGTAACAAACTGATAAACACGATTGATCTACGCACGATTGTGCAAAAACCTAAAGTTTAAGTTGCAGATAAAGACCAGGTGATGCTGCAGCATTAGGTCTGAGTTACCATATCATTACAGTCTCTAATATAGGATACAAGTTTCGAACTGGTTAGACCTGTGGAAGTTGTTTATATCCTTTTACCATCTACAAAAGAGCTGATAGCCTGCTGACGGCTAAAAAGTTTTTTTTAATTCTATATAACTAAGAACGCTTTCGGTCAAGTCACCTTTAAAACAAAAAGAAACAAAATGTAAATTGGATCATCCATTTGGGCGCTACTATGCCACAGACAGATATACAGATACACACGTTAAACTTACAACTTCTCTCTTATTGCGTTGAGAGTTAGAAATGGGCCTTTATGGTATAGCAAACAGTCTGACATTATTATTTTTTTAAGCTTGTGGTGGACAATTAAATTGATAAGCATGTATAGTGTTTTCATATGATAAGGAAGCATTCAAACAAATAAAAAATAAATAAAATAAATATGTTGGGACATTAACACACAGCACCATCTACATAGTTCCATGGTAGCCTGTGTTATGGATACCAGATAGCTGATACACTGCCCATATATAACCTTAAATACATACATATCACAAATATTAACACCCATGACTGAAGTACAAACATTAGTGTTGAATTAATGCCGCGACCGCTGGCATAGCAAGTAGGGTCACTACAAAATGAGCCAAACGTGTCATCAAAAATTAAAGAATATATTTAACAATTTGTTAAAATCTATAAATAAGATTCGTGGAAGCTTATAACATTTTTTTTCCAGTGCCCACACATCCAAACGTGTCGCCAAAGTCATTATAGTGTTTATATGGGTTTTCGCTTTGTCACTTGCTGCTCCTATGGCGATGTCATGGGAAGTCATTATGGTAGACGAACAAGACCCAGGTAATTTCAATAATAAAATATACAACCTTTTCTTATAATACCTATAAAATATAAAAATAATATTTTTATTAAGTATATTATTATGTATATATATTAGGTACTAAATAATTCTACTAAACTAAAATACATTATGAATATACTGTTGTTTTATAATATACTAATAACTAATAATATCTACCCTTGATATTTTTCCTGCCACTGCCTTTTAATATTCACAACAACTCTTAGGTTTTATTATTTCGTCATATTAAAAGATGCAGATATTGTTTTGTCGAGTTTGAGTTGAATTTTAATCTGAGGTCGTACAGCCAAATCATTTCTTGGTCATACTTTGTATGCAACAGTAAGATTGAAACTAAAACAACAATTAATAGCAATTTTTAAATAGATGCGATTTAGATTGAATTTAAAGAGCTTAGCTTACTCAAAATATTATTTTATTGCAGTGTCCAGAGTGTTTTACGAAAAACCCTTTTGTGCTCCGACTGAATTTGGATCACATTCGCTAGCAATATATAGACTATTGTTGTATATTTTCCAGGTAAAGTTTAAATATTAACTTCTGATTTTATATATTATGTAAAATAATATATTTTATACTTAATAGGAAACATTTGCAACACAATTCATGCCGAAGTATCTAATCGATATTTAGAATCGATAAGAAAAATGTTAATTGATGTTTTTTTTAATTATATGTTACTAAATATAACGAGCATTATTTGATTTTTATTTTATTATTTCACGTACCGGTCGATGTATTTAATATACACCAAATTTTGATGGTCGCTTTTTTGGTATAATTACCATCTCCTTCTAAACATAATCGATTGCTTATTTAAATGGAGTCGTTATCGTTTGGCACTTAATTATTTTTATATTTTTAGCAGTATTTTTGACAGTATTATCTAATTGCATTTTTTTTTCTACAAAATAAAAGAAAAATTTACTCCATGTAGCTTTTCCTCTGCCTCGCTCCGAATGCTTTTCAGGAGACAAAATTAAAAATCAAAGTAAATTAAAAATCAATTCAAAGTCTCTAGAAAAACAGAATTTATGATTCTTTGTTTCGTTTCAACTTCATATTTTGACGGCACTTTTAAGAGATATTTGTTAGCATCTGTGCATTCTCTAGAGAATGCATCAATGGAAATTCGATGTTTTTATAAATCATGATAATATATGTACAATTGTTTATGATTGCTGCAAATCGTAAAATTAAGAAATATTCATGTATTATATGAGCGTTTGTTGTAGGTACTTTCGTAATGATTCTAGTTCCTACAATATTGTTGCTAACAATTGACAACGTAGGAAGGAATTGGAAAATATTAAGTAAACTTATTTTAAGCTTATTTTTTATATGTTTACATTTATGAAGGGTTTTTATAAGTATTATTTATTTCAGTACATTATTCCCTTATGCGTAATAACATTTGCGTACGCTCATATGGCTATGAAACTGTGGGGGGCGCGTGCGCCTGGCAACGCGCAGGAAACACGAGATGCGAATCAAATGAAGAATAAAAAGAAGGTAAGTTTTTTATCAGGAAGTACAATATATTATTGTATAATATTGATGACTAGTGCGCATAAAGGATCTTAGAAATATTTCCCAAAAGGCATAGGCCTACTCTCCCCCGATATGTGTTTACCTTGTCGTGGTGGGTGGGTGGTGTGGTGGCAACCCAGCCGGGCACGAAGCCAAAAGACACAGGGAGGTGTCCCACTTCAGTGGGTGGTGTACTATGCGGGTTGCTTTTGGTACTTCTCTGACAGCAGAGTGGACTGTGGAAGCAACCCCTTGCCTGCCGTCGGGTCAGCGTGTTTCAATGCGTAAGCGATCCTGCGACGCCCCATTAAGACGGGGGAGGTTCTGTTGGGTTTTCTAAAGTAAAACTTGCGGAGCCTTCATTTTTTTACTACGAAAATATCTGGTTAGGTATCTGATTAAATGAAAACCCCCTTTACACATTTTTTTGCTTTTTAGTGCCGGTTTTTTAAGTTGGTTTAATTTTCTTCAAATTACTTTGTAATAAAATTATTTAAGACTCGATCCTCGCTTCGGGCGTCTTTCTTTTCTTTAGAATTTTATTGAAGAGACTTGTAATTGGAATAACGAGTAAATATTTGTTGACTTTTATTGCTTCGTTTGATACATTATCGATCCCAGTGCTTTTATAAGTTTTCAGTTCTTTAGAATTACTTAAAAAACTTGTAATGAGATATTATTATCAATTTATGACATTAAAATTAATGCAAAGTAATGGCTTTAACGTTACCCATCCTATTTTAAATAAACTTACGAGATTCTCTTTCTAAATTAATGAACTTCACAAGTTTACATGGACAATTAAAATAGATTAAAGAAATACATATTGCAAATTGCGTTATTTTCTTTTGTTTGTAAGTTTGTGATTTTGTGAATTGTGTTTGTGACGTTGTAGGGGGGGATATCTGGATCTACTGAACTGATTTAGATGAAATTTGGTAAGTAGGTAGTTGAAACCCTGGGTAGGACATAGGATACTTTTTTCCCGGAAATCATCCCTTACGGGGGTGAAAATGGGGATGATAGTTAGCATGGGAAATCAACGTAGTCGCTAGTTGTTAATATATTTAATTATCAAATCTTAAATATGAAAAAAAGGATGTTCATATTCTACGTTATATTTTAGTCTTTCTTTGCTATGCTTTTTTTTTCTTTAAAGTCTAGCAGTAGTTTTACAATTAGTTAATAGAAATACTATAATTAATATCATAGATAACATTGGTAAATTGTAAATCTATATTAAGGTAAACACAAAATGCTTCAGAAATAGTATAACAAAGAAGAAAAATAATTAAATGTGCTTATTTGCTATTTGTAAGAGTTGATACAAACATTTTTTTATACACCAAAATAGAAGAGTTGAAAATGTGCCACTACATTGATTAAAAATGTTTGTTATACGCGGTATAGCGGAGTTCGCTCCGAGCACTATTTGTCCACCAACCCGCACTTGGCCAGCGTGGTGGACTATGGCCTGATCAGTGATCCCCCTCGTATTAAAGGGAGGCCCGTGCCCAGCAGTGGAACGTTAAAAAAGGGCTGAATAGACATCATTCAAATTAACATTTCAAATCCGGCTGGTTCAGAGTTTAGCATATTCAAACACAAACTTAAAGATGTAGAAACAAACAATCTCCTTACTTTTTATTTATATATGTTTTAGTTTTTTATATATTTAATATATAAATTGAAATACAGGTAATAAAAATGCTGGTGCTGGTGGTTGCGTTATTTGCACTTTGCTGGCTTCCTTTGCAAAGCTATATGCTCCTTCAGTCATTCTTTCCATCTATTAATGAGTAAGTATTTTTAAAATAATTTTAAAAACATTTAGCATAATATGTATTTAAACAACATAATATATTTTTAAATTATTCGTCAACTTAATAACTGTAAGTAGTAAACTTAGTCTATACAATAAAAAGTTTGGTTAAAGGATTTTTTAAAAATATACTATAAAGTAGAATTGTTAAGATTATAGATATTTTAACGAAACGTTATATTGAGTGATATTGCTAGATAATTTAACTTAATATCTTATAATTTTATTTACAAAAATGCTACATTACAAACAAGCCAAGATTTAACTCGATTATCATAAAATTATTCTAAAATGTTTAAAGAATATAAATATTAATAAAATCTATGTTGACAGATACAGATACATAAACGTAATTTTCTTTTGCTTCGACTGGCTGGCAATGAGTAACTCTTGCTACAACCCTTTTATATACGCTATATACAATGTAAGTATTAATTAGTTATTTTAACATGTGTGTTAACATATAAAATAATTATGTAATGTAAAAACAGATACAAAACGGAAAAGTAATTGAGGAAATGAAAAAGTGAACATATAATTTATTAGATTACGCAAGTGCCACGAAAGTGGTATGCAATATAATATACATATAATAAAAATTTAACTAAGCCGAATCTGTACATTAAATATTTTTTGGAAAATCTTATTGAAATAGACATTATTTTCGATATAGAGGCCGAATCAATCGTTTTTAGAATTTTTGTCTGTCTGTCTGTCTGTCGGTCTGTCTGTTACCGCATCACGGAAAAACCACTGAAGGGATTTTGATGAAGTTTGATATGGTGATAGCTGGTTATCCGGGTCAATATGTAGGATACTTTTAACCGCGGGAAAATGTCTCATTTCTGAGAAAAAATACAAAAACTGCAATGTAAGAGTATACTAATATGTAAAACCTAAGAATTTGGTTTTTGGTCATCTGAACGCGGAAGGAGCCGCGAGCAATGCTAGTTAATGAATAAACGCTTACAGTTACGATGTTAAAAATATACAATACATTTTGTGCAATATCTGTGAGAAACATCTACATTCCTACACTAAAACACAATGCCATTTCATGCGATAACTCAGAATTACCTGGGATTCAAATTTAAGATTTAATAATTTCTCTTACTAAAATAGATATTAAGTTATAGTTGTTCTTATTTAGCTATATTTCGATGGTTGTATTTAACTTAGAGATGCGATATGTTTGAGAGCGACTTGGAAAATATAAATAAATAAATATGTTGAGACGTTAACATTATGGTAAGCTACGAGGCTTATGATATGGATAGCAGATAGCTGATACACTACACACATATAACTTTAAATACATACATAATATATGATATCATGAATTTAAACTATCAAATAAATTGAAAGCAGCCTGAATTTTATGTATAAAAAAATTATTTGCAAGCGTACCATAGGTTATTTTTTAGGATTCCATAGCCAAAAGGTTAAAATAGAACCATTATAATTTTGCTATGTTCGACTATTCGTAAGCAACTTTAATCAAAGACTGTTGGAGCTACATTGCTAAAATTTAGTAGTAAGATGTCTCATATGAATGGCTAGACAATTCTCTAGTCAAATTACAAAAAATAAAGAATAAGGATAAAAAAATAAAAGATAAGTATTGCATACACGTAATTGAGGGGTGAAAAAATGTTTTTCAGTCTACATAAATATGTGGGGTATCTCTCTTAATAGGTCTATAAGATTTATTAATAAATAAGGTTTAATTTGTGATTCTTCTTTTATGAAATTAAGAACGGTTTTGCTACTAAAAGAATTTTCATAGTTCTTTTTCGTACTTATGAGATGACAAACGGAACAACAAAAATGGGTCAATTTTAAAATACTCCACAGCTTTATTCCACAGCTTACGTAAGCTTACGTAAGCCATCTTCTGCCATCTTGACAATTTGTAAAATGTTTGCACTACTGTACCTATATCCTAAACAAGTTTATTAAAATACTACCTTTACTTAATGTACCTATCATTTTACCAAAAATAAAATTGGCTATAAATTATAACCTATAATCATTTTATATACATTACACTCAAAAGATTGACAACAAGTAAGAATCTTATGTATAAAATATCAAGTTTTTAATACGGCAATTTCTTAACATGGATATTAGTAAGATTTTTCCTAGTCTGATGTCGCCCCAAAATGGGTGACATCTGAAGCGGATCACCCTTAGCGACAATAATTTGATAATATTTTAATAATATTATTTGTATCTGTATCAATTATTAATAAGTAACTTCGATACGAGTGCTAAAATCATTAAAGCTTAGAGTAGTAGAGATTTTAAAAGAAATGCTGTGAAGTGTGAACTGCAAGGGTTGTCAAAAAGTACCAATTTTCATAGCGACCCTTTCGAACTTAAAGCGCTGTATTGCTATTTCGAAGAAAATCCATACTTACTAATATTATAAATGTGAAAGTGTGTTTGTTTATTTCTTTTTCCTTCTTTCACGTGAAAACGGAATGATGGATTGTCGTGATTTTTTGTGTGAAGATAATTGGAGGGCTGGAGAGTAACATAGGCTACTTTTTAACGCGGGAGATCATCTCCTTCCCACGAGAAAACACGTTATAATACAACCGAAAAAAATATATATGATCAGAATAACTTAAAACTTGGTATTAATGCTCTTTCAACACAAATAAATACGTGTTTTAGCATTTTTCGATATTCATCTCATAAAGGGGTAAAATAGGGCATGAAAGTTTGTATGAAGCCTACATTTTAGAATGTTTTTGTAGTTTTAGCGCGAGCGAAGCCGCGGGTTCTGCTAGTAAATTAATAAATAAAAATAATAATTATAACAATCGGGTGCACCTCAACCGCGTCACACCCCGCACGTTTGTCCTTGACTAGACGCCTTCTTTAGACAACTATAAATAATTGTATAAGTGTATAAATGTATTTGATATTTTTTATTAGGATATACTATGAAATATAATATTTAAAATAGGCTAAGTCTCTTCAATTTGTTATTTTTTATCTTACAACGATTGCTCATTTAAGTCTAGTAAGTGAACTGTGAAAGGTCTGAAAAATGAAAAGACTAATATTTAGGGGCTGGCGTTGACGTGAAACATGATGACTTGTCTTTCCACTTAATGGCTTCGTTTACTTTATGTAAATATACTTCTAAACGATTATAAATGACATTTTTATTATATACATATTTAATTATTTTTAAGCACAATGGGAAATTAAAAAAAGATGTGTAGTTTCGTGAAAATTTTGATCTACATTCCAAAAAAGAATTCTTTTAGTAATGAGTATATTTTTACAATACTTAATGTTATAATCAATATTCTAAATTAAGCACTATATCTTCAAGTTAATCCTTTTGTGAGTTATCTAGAAAGAACACACACACACATGCACACACACACGAGCAAACACACTATTTATATTGTAGTTTAATATATAGAATCGTTATAATTTTTATATTTATTGTTCCAGGAAAAGTTTAAAAAGGAATTCAAACAAAGATTTACATTTAGACAAAAACAAAACAGATTCACTAACGATAGTTGTTATGAGGTAAATAAAGAAACAAATAAAATTGTACATAAATTATAATAGTTTAGGTAATAATCCAAAAGTTTGTTTTAGGACGGACATTCATATAGAACTCGAGTTCTATCAATTCGATCAACAAATGAAAGGAGTGTTTACTCTGCAAGAAAATCAATAAATATAACACCCGTAGATTCTTTAAAAGCAAGAAATTCTTGTGATTGTGCCAGAGAACATATTCATTCAGATAAAGCAATTCTACGCCCATCAAAAATGGAACGTGAAATGTGTAAGAATGGTAACCGTAACATGAATCTTGAAGATTTTGGAAGATCAAATAGATTCAGCAACAATGATTTACCTATCGGTGATGAAAGAGTTAGTGAACTATATATTTTTCCAAACAGTAGTATTGTAGAATTCACAGATGTGCTACGTGATAACAAAGTATAAATCTATATCTTCAAGGTGAACTTCTTCATAGAACTTACATAGACAGTGCAGTAGTCACGATTTGTTAGTGACAGATCTGTCAGTGGCTTCCTTATTTTATCTTAAACTAGAGTTTAAAATTCATGATGTTATAATAAAATGTAAATATTAAATTATAGTTATGTATGTAAGTATTTATTAAAATGTTAACAGGTGATGTGACAAAGTCTATATAATATATATACTATAAATAAAATGCATGAGAAACTAAGTTGTGTATTATTTAAATTTAACTAGGTATTTCTTTTTTGTTCAATCAAGATATAACTTCAAAGAAAAATATAGATAAATATTTTATATAAATAAATAAATATTAATTCAAATTCATTTCTTTTATTCATAAATTAATTTTGAAAATAAAATATTTCTATAGCTCACTTATTTGAAAAGATAAATAAATAGACATTTGTACCGTCCCTTCTTTGTATAGATAAATCCTTTCATCAAAAGCTATCTAAAAGATATTACAACTGGCTATATAGAGTCGCGTTTGTATCCTTTTATATTGTTTTACACAATACTCATTTTGAGATATTGTGCTTGCTATCGTAATGTGAGATTTAATAAATATTACTTATGATTGTCATGCCTATCACTTAATTGCTATATTATTAATTATTATCAAAAAGATCTATAGCCTCGCGGCTCACGGTCGCTTCGCTCGGGATCGTCTCTAGGAAAACAAAAACATACATATCCCACGGGAACCGTACATTTTTCCGGGATAAAAATCTATCTCTGTGCCAAATTTCATCTAGATTCGTTCAGCCGTTCTGACGTGAAAGAGTAACAAACATCCATACTCACAAACTTTCACATTTATAATATTTATGTTATTTATCAGAATATGTAATATTGAGACTAAACAAAAAGGACTAACAGCTTCTTAACTTCACTCATACAACCTTCGTCTTATTGTACATAAATTATAAAACTTTCAAATTGAATTATGCTGTATTATTTTAAAGAAATAGGTTTATTATGACTCTATTTTTAGAACCTACATGAAGAAAACAATGCCTCTACACACAGATTTTACTATAATTAAATGGGATCCATTCACGCGTAAAACATACTGGGGAATGTTACGTTTTGTTCACAAATACCGAGTAATAATAGTTTTACAGAACTAAAACATAAATTTTAATCATTTATGTTTTAGTGTTGTAAAACTATTTATTAACCGACTTCCAAAAACGAGGAGGTTCTCAATTCATCGGAATCTTTTTTTTTATGTATGTTCACCGATTACTCGAAGACGCCTGAACCAATTTAGAATTTTTTTGTTTTGTTTGAAAGGGTGTACTTCCCAGGTGGTCCCATATAAATTTTATCGAAATCGGTCGAGCAGTTTTAAAAAAAATCAACAATAAATATATTTTTTAAACAAATTGTTTAATCGAATATGTTATTAAAAACTTTCTTCCTACAAATTACCTGCTTATTACGTCTACACTAAAAATATTAAAATATAAACAAAAAAAAAACCGACTTCCAGGCACTAAAATGTAAAAAATAACTAAACGGGGGTTTTCATTTAAAATAGATACCTAATCAGATATTTTCGAAGTCGGCGCCAGCGGACAATATTTTAAGATATGAATATCTAATAGGTATATATGTATTTTACGTATATTAAATTTCCTATGCGTCGGCTGGTAAATGGCTAAGTATAAGAGCATCCATTATTGAACATTTACAGTTTATAGAAAAAAAATCTGCAAAATTTTGTATAAAAATAATATAAAATAAAATAACGAAGAAACATGATTAAAAACAAAGGTACGTTAAAACTATTCATGGACAGAAATAGATATCTATTAAATATTTGACGAAAACCAGACCACATCTTTACATGTTATTGCTCTATTTCGTAAACATTGGCAAACAAAAATAAAAATAACTTGTGGCTTTCGTTGCATTCAATTGATTTTTTTCATATGGTAAAGAAAAATATAAATATACTATCAACCATCTCGCCTTCGCACACATGCTCTTTTCAACACTCTTCCTATGAAGGTAGGAAGGTTAAACCTCGAAGTGAAAAATATTAAGGGCTTTCCACTATTTGCACATTACATCAAGAACAGTAGATCGTATAAAATATTGCTTTAAAATAGAGGATTTTGATAACCGTTGACTTTTGATATATTGTGACGCTTACACGAGACTGAGTCAACATATAAAAAGCCAAAGCTAAATTATATAGAAGCTTATAACTCAATTGTCTTTCATTTTGAAGTTAAATATCTATCTAAGTGGAGTGGTCCATATTTTTACCCCATTGGATTATACAAGTATAAAATTGCACTATTTTAAGTACTTCATTTTAATAATTTATTCTACAAGATACAATTTTACTTCAGTTATATTTATTTAATGTTTTGTACTATGTGTATTCAAATTGACGGTAAACGCGCATGGGAAAGTCCACCTATAAGGTGGTCGGACGCGATAAAGAAGGCACATGGTGCTACTCTCTATGCCGCAGTTCAGGCATCGCTGAACCGAACTGACTGGAAAAAAATCATAAGTAGTCACAATCCTCATCAGTGAGGTAACGAGGAAGAAGAAGACTATGTGTATTAGTTTTTATGTGTTATTTATCTTATATATATAATAAGTACAGTAATACCTCGACTTACGTTACCCCGACTTACGCGAATTCGACTTACACGGTTATCGCTCGGTCCCACCGATCGCGTAAGTCCGGGGTATTACTGTATACGTTATTATAATGTTGAATATCAACATTAAAATCTATATCAAAATTTTATTCAAACTGTCAATTTATTTTCATTTTCGCTATATTGGTTAGAAGTATATTATTTCATTAACACGAACCATGGCCGAATAACCTCTAAAACGAAATATAAAATTAATATCAAACAAAATACAAATAAACCTACTTCGTTTTATTGTTTTCCGTCTGGTTATGACGAGTAACAAAAGTTTATAAAGGAAAATCTTGTTTATGAAAATATAACAGACTATTATTATATAATAACTTTAGCCCGTGGTTTCGTTTGCGTAGTATATATGTTTAATTGCTCCGCTCCCAGAAGCAGAAGTGTAATGTTAGATACCTTACTATATAAACCCTTCCTCAATAACTCATTAAAAACCCTCAACACAATAACCTATTCAAAGAGGCCATTTGAATGAGCGTAAATATGATATATACGATATACTAGGTTACCATATCATTAAAATGTTATTAAAATAACGGGATCCAAGTTTCGAATCGATTAGATCTGTGGAAGCTGCCCATATCCTTTATTACCGTCTAGAAAAGAGCTGATAGCCTGCAAACGGCTGAATGGATTTTATGATTGATAACTAATATCAATAATGTTCTATCGAGAGTGATTCAAACAAAAACATCTTCAAACAAAACATACTAAATTAAAATCTATGAACTGATTTTTCGTTTGGGCCTTATGATGCCACAGACACATACACGAACACACAGATTAAACTTATAACTCGTCTCTTAAATAGGCGTTAGTTAATAGACTATAAAATGAAAAAACTTTTTGAAATCGTTCTAGGTATATTTAAAAATTAGTGCGTCCAAACAAATAAAAAAAGAACAAATTTTTCAACTTTATAAATTATGTAGCGACTCACCCTAGATACGTTTTAACGGTGCGTATATATTTCTCAGATATGAGATATTTTCCCGCAGTAAAAAGTATCCTGTATATTGAGCAGGATAACCAGCTATCCCCGTACCAAAATTCATCAAAATCGGTCCAGTAGTTTTCTCGTGATGCGTTCTCAGACAGACAGAAAGACAAAAATTCTAAAAACTATAGATTCGAGAGACTATTTCAAAAAGATTTTATAAAAAATATTTAATGTACAGATTCGACTCACGTAGACTCTTATTATTGTTTGAAGCACTGAAATGATCAATTTTACAAGTAAATAAAATGTCTATTGAAATTTGTAACTAAGCAGTATGGCGATATGTAACTGAACTAGATTTTAATAAATAATACAATGAATACTATAATAAGACGAATTGGATAAAAATATAGTATAAACCAGTACACTTAATATTAAATACGTTTTCCTGCGATAAGATACGTCTTTCTAATATACTTTATTATATCCCTCTCATACAGACTCACTTGTATCGCAAAATTCAATCGAAATTATTGAGATATTGGCTTATTTACTGAGAGAAAATAAATCCATAAGAGGAAAAAACAGAGAGTAGGCAAATACACACGTATTTGTAATGTAAATAATCTATGTACGTTCAAATAAATACCCAAAATTAAAGACAATCATTTTTCACAATACATTTTATTTATGTCGTATATCAAAGATTTTTTTTACTAGCCGTATAAGTAATTCCTTTATTTATTATATTTCAGAAGTTTCGCACTATATATCGGTGCGACAGCTGGAAAATCTGACACATGATAACGTTTGACCTACCGAAAAGAAAAGGCACGAACCGACCTATTTACCCGAATTAAGTTTCTTTATCTATACATATAATAAAATTCTAACTGAGTCGAATCTTTACATAAAATATTTTTTTGGAAAATCTTATTGAAATATTAGTCATTATTATCGATGCAGAGACCGAATCTATAGTTTTTAAAATTTTGTCTGTCTGTCTGGGAGCGCATCACGAGAAAACCACTGGACAGATTTTGATGCTGATCCAGGTCAACATATACTTTTTACTGCGGGAAAATATCATATATCTGTGAAATCTATACTTATTACGACGCCGGACGCCGACATAATCCATATAATATATTATTGTCTTTGAATTTATGCTAGTGCAAATTACAATTACAGAAATCACAAAAAGCTTCTATCGGCATTTTTTCGCTCTATTTAATTCTTATCTTTGTTGAGCTCTTTAAGATTTTAAAGTTAAGCTTTAAGATCTTACCTCTAAGCTTACTTAACTTTAAGATTTTTTAATGGTAACT